TAATGAACTACCAAAGCTTTCATTAGCACAGTCACTGATGTGTCATGCCCAGTATTCCTGGCAGACTTGCTATTTTATGTAACACAATATGCAGGGCAAAAAAAAAAAAAGAGGAAAAATAAAAAAGTTGGTCAACCTCCCAGTGATGCACTGGACACAGGAAACTCAAAAGGACAATTGTTGCTAAATATGTTCACTTAGAAAAAAAAATAATTGGAATTTAACCCTCAATGCGGTGGCATTTTCTCGGGTTGCCAAAGCAACCCAAGGTTTTCATGAGACAACTGTAATTAACATATATGAGAAGTTTAGAGAAAGATGTAAGATTTTCTCCGGTTCATGGTAAGGGATTCATAGTCCCTTTCTCACAGAAATGATTTACTCCTAAAGTGCATTGAAATTCATTTGGTTAACATCTATTGCTGCTATAAGAAGGACATTTCTTGGTGTGTTAATGCTGCTGTGAGTCGCCTGCTGCTAAGCAGCAGTGTGTGGTTTCTCTCTCCAGCATAGGCTTGGGCAGAAAAATGCCTATTTTGGAAGATGCCTTCAGACAAACCTAATGAAAGCCCACTTTTATGTACCCTTTTTCTAGTACTCCATGATGTGTGTCAGGAGAGCAGGCAGTGGTAAAGACTTCATAATGCTACCTAATGCTACCTCCTTTGGAAAGATGCTTCTGTTAACTTGGTGGTACAAGAGAATCAGGGTTAAAGAAAAATATCTTTCCTGATGCAGGCTGATTTGACAGTTGTCTGGGAAATTCCCATTAGGAAGATATCCCATCTTTATTATTCCATAACCCAGAAGTGTCAAAAAAAGTGTAATAACAGAACTTTCAGTGACATGGTTGGCATCTGTACAACTCCTAGGGACATTGTGATTTCCAGAGAAAGTGCTAACTCTGTAGTTGGGCAGCCTGGGTGGCCTAAAGAATTGTGTAAATGGAACCAGTGGAGTGTAGAGGTCCAAAACTGAGGGTTGTGATCATATTCTGAAAGTGCATACACTAAGCATTCACTAAGTGGCAAAGAACACCAGTTCAGCTGGAGCCATTTTCATGGTAGATGATTACAATTAAGGGAGGCAAATGTCACCTTTTGTTGTACTTGTGATGAAATATTGTGCTGTACTAACATCTTTATCACTGCATTATCTATGTTTTCAAGAAGTGCAGCAGTGTCTTTTGATTTCAGAGGAGAGAAAAACTTGAAATCAAATTTGCAGCAAACCCTCCAAGGACACTCATGGGTGATTTTCTGTCCAGATGCCAATGCCTTCTTCAAGAGAAAGAAACTTTTACATTATCTCCTCTACTTATATGGACTAAATTAGTCATTGATGTAAATAGATTTGCCTCTGATGACACTGAGTTTCATTCATTTAGTTGTACAGTAACAAATTTTGTCCCACCATATATTCATAGATAAACTTTTGTCTTCTATTGTCTTATTATAGCTTGAAAGGGAAAGAATAAAAGAAAAAGGAAAATGAAGAAAAGAAACTGGGAAGTGCTGTAGTTCAGAGGCTCATATATCCATATGTAGTGAAAGTTAAGAGGGAAAAAAAAAGAACACCTGCCAAAAGAGAATTGCAAGTAGGTGAACATGGAGGAATGTACAGATACTTTTTGCTCCTAAGAAAAGGAAAAACTTGATCAGTCTTTAGAATCTGCTTTGATTTCATTGAATCATGAAATACCCAAATGAAAATTAATCATGTGAACTTTATGCCTTTGAATCTTGCTCATTAGAGAGTGACATACCATCTTGGCTACCAGCACAGCAGGTGATTCATGTGGTTGATAAATAACTGCTGATTCCCCCAGATGAGTTTTTGAGTATTCAGGTCCAGCTTCACAAAGAGATTTAAATGCTTAACTCTGTAAGAGGATGTTACGGACTCAGAGTTTACCATACAGGGAAGAAAGTCAGATGAGTAAAGAGGGAATTTTCAGCAGTCAGCATATGGACCAAGTGGGTGCTTAGACCAGCTACTAGCAAATGCTAAAGAGGGGGATGTGCCTGAAATCTTCAATTTTTCCTAGATTTAGGAGCATTAAGCCAGGGATTCAGTCTAAACCCTTTCCCAGTTCTTGAACACCTTACTCATACTGTCAGGTGTCAGTCATGCTCAGACATCTCTCTTGCTGGGAAATTTCCAAGTGTCTTTACATTGACTCAGCTGCCACCTCACGCTTTTTACATTAGCAAAATGGGAAAGGTTTTCCTTCTAGCCAGAAAGTGAGCAGAGGCCAGGAAGCAGTTCCTGAATATTGGTGTAAATCTATTTATGTCTGTGGCATTATTCTTTAAGAAAACCCTGCCTTTGAACTCCAACTCTCTGTGTGGACAGCACTGAAGAGAATACATGGGAAAACATTCTCATTCCAACTGGCAGTGCCAGACTCCTTTCCGTGTGATCCTCTAGCTCTTCCCTGCTTCATGGCTTTGCTCTTCTCTATAGTGGTGAGAGCTGGTGATGCCTCAGAAGGGTGAAAGAGAATGGGCAGAAAGCAGGAATTGCTGTTGTCCCTGAAACCATGAGTAACGCAGTTTTCCTAGCAATTGCTGTCTGCCTGTTAAAAGACTTGTCAGGGGGGTTACAGGATAACTAATTTTTTTCAGGAGAAGAATAATTTCAGTTTGCTGAAGTTCTCCTGGTTCTTCCAATAATTTGGTTGCTGGACTGATATACATTCCCTCTGTGCTTCAACTTTGACTGTTCTTCCACCTAAGTGGAAAATTCCCAGAGAAGCTGAACTTGCCAAGACTAAATTTGTAGTCACTGACGTTTATTTCTTGTTCAAAAAGAGAGACCCTGAGCAATTTGACAGGACAAACCCTATCACTTAAACAATAAGTACGTTGGTTTTCTGACCAAAATATTAAGTGAGGATTGTGCTACAGCCCTGCAAAACCTGATTTTTCTTCAGACAAAAAAAAATAAAAATAAGCTAATCCTGAGATCTTGGGAATTCTAGTACTGTGAGTTTGGTTTTTCACTCAACTGTCTCTAGTGTAACTAAATTAAAGAGTTGTTGAGAATACACTGGTTTAAATAATCTGTGAAAAAGCTGCTTTCTCCTTCTTGTTCTTAATTGTCTGTCTGAAACACTTAAATAAGGTTGGCAATCATCTCTCTCTATTTCCAGGTACATAATTCCAGAAAAAAATAAAACCAGCCTTCAAATGTGATTTGGCACATGTGCTAAACCCATGCTTAGGTCATCTGATATGCAGGACACTGGATTTTGCCCTTTTTTAGTTCCTGGTGGTTTATGGGGATTGGGTGCACAGGCCTCTGATCCCTTGGCCAATTGCTGTGGTCTTTGCTATCAGTCTGAATAAGATGGGATGGAGCTCATTTTGTGGAAAAGTGACATAATTAGTTGGGTACCAATTAAATCTGTATTATTCTGGACATTTCTGAAGAGGTCCAACTGCTCCAAGGCCAGGCTGGATGCGAAGGTGTCTCTGCCTATGGCAGGAAGGTTGTAAACAGATAATCTTTAAGTTCCCTTCCAACAGAAACCATTCTGTGATTCTGTGAACTGACTTGTTGCTGTTCTATTCATGTCTTCTCTCTTCTCTTTCATCATTACACTTATTCTGTTGATTTAACTTGTCCACTGTGCCTATTCTCTCTACTTATTTTGCAGAATATTTGTTCTTTTGTTGCTGTCTTCTTGTTTCCCAACTTGGTGGCTCTACACACTGGAGAAGGCTGTCCTGCTGTCTGTCTTTGTGCAGTACTGAAGGCGTAAGGGCCCTGGGTATCATCACCATGCAAGCAATTAGTAACCACACAGCAGTGATGATCATGATTTTATTCACATCAGAGAACAGATAGGTATGATTGGCTAATAGCGCTTAGAATCATAGAATCACAGAATCATAGAATAGTTAAGGTTGGAAAGGACCTCAAGATCATCTAGTTCCAACCCCCCTGTCATGGGCAGGGACACCCTCCACTAAACCATGCCACCCAAGGCTCTGTTGTGTAACAGTTTCTGTCTTTAATTTATTTCAGGTTATTCTTTCCTTTTCTGTTTGAATGACAATTTTATTTAGTTATAGTGGCATCAAGTTCCAAAATGGGAAATGAGAGGTGGGTAATAGTTATGAAGACACCAGTAGAGAGTCCCAAGATGAAAATATAAGTGTATTAACTAACTCTCAAGGGGGATGACCAGCCTGCTGCTCTGAAGGCACATTAAACTGTGTGGTTTTCACATATGCCACTGGTCAGACTGCACATCTTGTTTGGTTGATACCCTGTCTCTGGCACAGGCAAGTCAGGGATACCTAGAGGAAACTGTAGAAATCAGGGAAGCATTTTGCAATACTTTCTCAGCCTAATTTCCTGGCTTCTAGAAATTTTTCTGTAAGGGATTCCTTCTCATCTTATTGTTACTGATACAGAGGTTATTTGGTCATCCAGCTCCAAACTGTAGAAAGAAGTGAGTAAAAAGGTAATTTCCTGTGGACACAGCTAAGTATCTAGGCAGCGCCATCCCACAGGTATCAATCTTGGACACACGGAAACAGTTGTGAACTATTTATAAGCTCACTTTCCCCATTTCCCTGAGGTGTATGGTATATGTCCTGTGTCTTGGGCATCTGCTTAGTAAGACCAGAAAAACTGGTCAATTAAGATCTTCAAGTCCTACAGACCATTTGAAGTAAATAAAATTTTTTACTGATCAGAATATATCTAGCATAATTTGGATCATATTAAAATTCCAACATGTACCATGTTTGGCTAAATTTGATTTTGATCTGTCTGTTAAATGGTTCCTCATTGAAGTCTCACTGTAATTAGAAGGGTAAAACCAATAATTAATTTGTTTCTGTTTCTGGGTTTGTTTTTTTTTCTTTTTTCACTGGCACAGTTCTGTTGTGTAAGTGTATTATAAAATAGAAGAAAATAAATTTGGTTATATGGAAAATCAAAACCATCTGATGTCTAGAAAGAATAAGAACTCGGTGATGACAGGCTGCAGACATCTGGATTTTTATTTAAACAGTCTTCAGCTTTGTATCTGAATCATCTTTTGAAAGCCAGATATATTTTAAAACCCCTTGTTGACTGTCTAATACTATCCAGGCGTGTATTTGATTTTATATTCATGCTAACATACTGTCCAAGTGAAAAAGTCTTGAATTAAGTACAATTCAGAAGTTGACACCCAGGCATTAACAGGAGAAAAGAGAGAAAAAAAGAGGCGGCAGAGAAGTAGGGTGATTTTAAATACCCAACTTTCAGGACTTGTGCCTGGGAAGCCAGTTAGTTTCTGAGCCTGGGTCAGATTTGGGATAGTTTGAAGTCTGAGCACCCCCTGTGATTTACAGCCGTTAAAGCCGGCAGAGGTCTGAGAACACGGCTAAATCTGAGGCATGCATTCAAGTCCTGCTGTGATAAAACCAGAGGCGGTTAGACCTTTTGCTCCTAAAGACGCTCTGGCACTGCAGGGATATTCATTTTGTCTGCAAAATCAAGCATGTAATTTCCCTTCTCCCTTGCTTTCCCCTTCTGTCTCCGGCCAGTCCAGTGGCTCAGCGGCAGCAGCCAGTCTCCCTGGTGACAGCCAGGACAGCCAGCCTTCAGCAGGGTGGTGTGGGCTATGCTTTCACAGCAGGACGTGGGCTGGGGAGCACCCCAAATCGGCTTTTTTCCTTCCTGTCAGGAGTGCTTTAGAGCAAGCCTGGGGAAGCCCTGAGACATCACTGTGTTTGAAAGAAAAAAATGTGAAGAAATCATGTAAATAAAAACAAAACAAAGAAAAGAAAAAGCACCCAACACCCCCCGCCACCACCCCAAACCAAACCAAAACAAAAAAAAAAACCAAGCCACAAACCCCCAAATAATCTGTCCCTCAGCATCCAAACTGAACTCATATAAAGCTTCCAGTTTATTTGCTGCATTATGTCAGATTTACACAGTGGTCACAGAGATTCAAACTGATCCCTACCATTCAGCAGTTAAAACCCACTTGTATGAGTGTGTGTTCGTCTGTACAGCTGTCAGGCTTGGCATCAAAAAGAGTCCCAGTCCACAGAGCCAGCAGAAGCGATATTTCTACCCGTTTTCAAATGAAACAGAGGTACTTGAATCTCTAGAACGTGGATTTAGTTGTGAGTTTTACCTGCTACTTTCAGATGTTATCTGCTGCTGGTGAAGCTGAGCATGAATAACTTACCAGCCTGCAGAGATAACTTTGCTTTTTGTTTCAGTCCAGCTCAAGACAGAAATCCCACAAAAGTTTTCTTTCCAATCCATGTGCTGATTGATCATACAGGAGCTGAAGAAGTAAAATTCCTGAGGCACTCCTTAAGACTTTTCCAAGAATTTAAAAAACCCTCTTAAAAACGGCAGCAGAGATCAAACACTGGAGGGGGGGGGGGGGGGGGGGGGGGAGAAAGGAAGAAAAAACTTTGGCAGGCATACAGTGTCTTACATCAATCTAGCAGTCAGCATCTATGTAGATGTTCTTTCCTCCTTTTGTGCAACACCCCTTCCCTCCTACAGACCACCCAAAGCCCTATAAATAATCCAGGGACTGTATTTTTTCTCCAGATTTCTCTTCAGTCCTCAAAGGAAAAATAACAGGCAAAGGAAGGGAGAGAAGGAGAAGGGAAAGTGAGGAGGGGAAAGAGAGAGACAGGAAAGATGGCTAGTGAATTCAAGAAGAAAATATTCTGGAGGGCAGTGGTGGCTGAGTTCCTTGCCATGAGCCTTTTTATTTTTATCAGCATTGGCTCAGCTCTGGGTTTTAGCTTCCCAGTGGTGGGCAACAAAACTTCAACAAGGTCTCAGGACAACGTGAAGGTTTCTCTGGCTTTTGGGTTATCCATTGCTACTATGGCACAAAGTGTGGGCCACATCAGTGGTGCACACCTGAACCCAGCAGTGACCCTGGGCCTCCTGCTGAGCTGCCAGATCAGCATCTTCAAAGCACTCATGTACATCATTGCCCAGTGTCTGGGGGCAGTGGTGGCCACAGCTATTCTGTCAGGAGTCACCTCCTCTCTCCCAAACAACCTCCTGGGGCTCAACTCAGTAAGTAGGAACTTTTAATTCCTTCTTCATTTTTTTAGAGTAGAAATGTAATACCCATAATCTACTAAAGATGGGGGGGGGGTGGGGGTGGGGGGTGGTGGTGGTGGTGATGTTGGCAGTGATGGTGACCTCAGGCAGTCTTTGTTTATTAAAGTCCTGACTGATACCAGGATAGATCTATATCATGGGAATAGTCCTTCCTCCCCACCTGTATTTTGGAACTTCAGGATATTATGGTCATGTTCAATTTTGTACATCTAAGTTCCTGAAAGGTGCCTTTTAACCTGTTTGACACTGAAATCACTAAAAGTTGCATGAATAAATCCCTTTCGTGGCTCTGAAGGTCTCAGATAATGTGCTGATTAATGTGCATATACCAATGTTGTTTTCACTACTATGAATGTTGTTTTTGCTACTATGAATGTTGTTATTTTTCAATACCTAATTAATGGGTTGTGTAACCTGTTGATGACTGTAATGAAAGCCTGTAGGAACAGCAGGAGAGAAGTGTAGCAAGGGAAAGCCTATCACTGAAAGTGTGAACATTACCTGTTGTGCTAGGCAGAGTGCTCAGATCCAGCCTGACACAGAATTCTATCTGCACTTTCTGTGAATTTCTGCTTTAGCAAAAATGGGAAACCCCTGAATTCTCAGTGTAGCCTGGGTAAAGATGTGAGGCAGCTACATTTAACTGGGGTGCAGGCTTCAGCCCTCACCCAGCCAGGTGCCAACATCACACTACATTAAAAATTGCCTGGTCACAACTTCTCCTCAAAACATCGACATTTTACACCTGTTCCATAATGTGAGAAAAAAGGATAGATACACTTCTAAACTTGAAATCATCTCACTGTCAGAGGCACTGCTGCAGCCACTGCAGTACACTGGGTAATATAAATGGAATTTGCCTTATAGTCACTTATTTCACCTCATTCTGTTAAGAACAAGTATTTCACGTCTTTCTTTCTTTCTTTCTTTCTTTTTTTGTCCCCTTTCTTGCAGAATATTCCTGATTGCAGTTTGAAACTTGAGCTAATTTGAAATCTTATGCCCATTTGGAGTCACAGGGATATCTGGGACATAAAGCTGCAAATACAATATCTCTTCAGGAATCATTTAGGCAAAAGGGGAAGAAAGGAACAAAAAAATAAAATTAACAAATTAATTTGCTTTTGTATTACAGTTAATTCAGAAAGTGAGGCAGTTTTTGAAAACATACTAAAATCTGATATTAAGAAGGTGATTCCTAAGCAGCTTAGTATCATCCACCCTCGTGTTACTCTGCAGGCTGGTTGCTTATCTTCCTTAAGCCTTGTGGCTGCAGGTATTCCATGGTGCCACTGTTTTGGAAATTTTGATGGGTTTATACAAAATATTTTTTGGAAAAAAGCAAATAATTTTATTAACTCCAGAAGGCTCTGGCTGTGGGTGTCATACGTGCTCTTTTCCTCTGAAACCACTGGCAGAGGGAATTGCTCAACCGCATGCGACAGAGTATACGCCCAAGTGATTTCCTCGAGAGGTCCAACTGCCATTAAACACAGAAGCTCTGGTTTCAACACACTTATGTTTGGTCCTCCTCTTTTGCTTGCCACGAAGTGCTGACAGCTGGCTTATTCGCCTGTCTAAAAGCCCTGAAACTGTAAAGGGGATGTAGATAATAACCCAAAACTCTTCTTGCTCCTCAGTGAGTAGCTCTTCAGACTACAAAGATATTATTCAGAACCCTGCACAAAGACATCTCAGAACAGAACCAGAGAGGACAGGTGGAAAGAATAGGAATGATCAGTGAAGTCACTGATCTTGTAAGCTTAGGAGACTACTTCATGACCCTGAAAAATTTTAGGATGGAAGCTTTGTTCCCCCTTGAGGAATGCCTCTGGAATACCAGCATTGTTTTAAATGGCCATAAAATACACTGCAGGCAAAAACAGATAGTGTAAGTCTCCATCATACCAATTTTATAAATCTGGCAACTGTTTCTGTGCAAGAATTAATGGATAAAATAGTTCTTAAAAGCCCTGGTCTCAGTGCTTGTCATTGTCAAAGTCTCAGAATTTTGACTTCTTATTTTCTCTTTCACATTCAGTTATAAATGTTCTGGCTAGAGGAAGAGTTGGGAGACCTCCCTAGGGATGGGGAGGGCAGCAGCTGTTCTTCTCCCCTGCAGGAAAGGGCTAGAGAAGAAAGCAAAAATGCACTGACAAGCCAGAACTGTTTGGGGAGGGAGGTGAGAGTTGAGGAGGGAGTTGGGTCTGCACGAAGCACAGGGAAGAAGGGCAAAACCGCTGTCCTTGTGCAAAGCTGATCACAAACAGGGTATACTCTGAAACTACAACCCAGCACCGAGAGCACACTGCTTCCTTTAACAAATAGATGATAAGGGGAAACCACAGATATTTGCTTTTATGCCATGCTTTTTAACCTGAGGAGGGAGGGACAGAGCTGGTATCCCTGCCAGCTGCTTTGTCTTCCTGCCCTTCCTGTGGAAAGTGAGAAGTAGATTCACTATTGAGAAAAAGAATAGGGAGAAGGGGAATGCTGTTTGTTTGACAAGGTTGGAAAAGGGTTTGATGTGTGTGGCTCTGTCCTCTATTCTGTCCCTGTTGTGCTTTTGAAGGGGTGGTTTTTTCAGGAAAAATGTGAGAGCAATTTAATGGTGTCAGTGGCTATCCAGTGTCCCCGGTGGATACTGGGTGGGACTGCATGCCTGAACTTAGATTTATCCTGCCCAGATGTATGTCCTGCACTGAGATGCCAAGTGAGGAACCCATTTCTGTAGGCTGCTCTCTATTTCACAGAGAAAAAGAGACAAAGAGAGCTATGTCACACTTCAGATTTGTTGCATTGTCCTCCAGAAACAGCGAGCTCTTCTTTGGCATAATGAGGCTCCAGGATAGGAACTGTCTGTTAATATTCAAAATGAAGTAGGATGAATTTGTGCCTTTTTCATTGCCCAAAGAGAAAAAGGGAAACAAGCAAATGGAAGCACAGAAAAGAGCCATGGAAGGTGCAGGACTGAAGAAAAGGAAGGGACAATGAAAAGGCAGGAAGCTCCTTTAACATGTTCAATATTAATGTTTGTTTTATACTAAGACAAGTAAAACAGTCACATCTGAAGAGTTGGATCCAAACTTTACTGAGGTAAATGGAAATATTTTTAGTTACTTTGGCTGATTCCAACATCATTCTGGCCAATATTCAGAGGGGTATTTAGGTTACTGAATCCTTTTAAGACATTTAACTTCCCATATATATTGCAAGTGTTGTGGGTGCCAAAGTAAAACTTTGAGAATTGGAAAAGCTGAAAGAGGATTATGCAGTGTGCTTGCTGTTCTAAAAAATTAAGTCTTTTTCCTTACATAATTTTGTATCTTATTTTTTTGGCAATTGCATTACTACGTGTTACAAATTTTCACTAAGTAAAACTATAAGAATAGAAAAAACCTAATCCTAAATGCACTTAACTGCCAGCATAGCTGGCTATTGTCTAATGAAGACAGATCTGTAGTTTGGATAATGGAAGAAACTATTCATCATGGGCGGTTAATGACCAACTAAGAGCTCAAGAGGAAACGTGGGTGAGAGAAGATTTTTGTACTTTAGGCTAACTAACACAGTATTCACAGTTCAGCCATGATTATCTTGAGAACTTTTATCAAGGTTTCAAAAACATGCTGAGAAAATTTCTTTAGATCAGTGTTTTTTGTTTTCTTTCTTTTGTTTGGTTTGTTTTATTTTTTTTTGTGTGAAAATAATCGAGTTTGTAAAAAATACAGACACTGTTTTACAATTTCAGGATTTCTGTATTTTGACATACTGATTAGAGTGCAAGGAAATGTGCCCCCTAAGTCTCTGGACTACAATTTGAAAACTCTGCCTTGAAGTTTATTATGAAAGATATTATTTTTTAAGTTGTAAATGGATCAAAAATCATAGGCAAGAAAAACAGGCCTGAAGGTAGCGTTGCTCAGAGCAGATAAAGAGAAAATAAAAACAACCGAGAGAAACAAATAGAAGGACTTGGTTTTAAAAAACACACAGTGGACTGAGGAATGATGGCTGTATAACTGAACAACTTTCTGGAAAAGTCAGAAGGGATCTGTGGTCAGTGGTTTCAGAGGCCTGGAACATTTTCTAAAGACAGGTGAATAGTCATATAGATACCACCCCTGGAGACTGGAAAGTCACTTGTTGCTGGAACACCCTTTGGATTTCCAGCGCAACTGGCTGTATCTTTGCCACTACTGCTCAGCAGAGTGTCCCCGAAGCTGGATTGACTGTTGCAGAGGAATTGGTGCAAGTAAGCATGCAATGCCTTTTGGTGTTAAACACACAGTGGCCAAATCTAAATCCTTTCTCAAAGACAGCGGGAAAGGAGCCATTTGCTGTCCTTGTTTCTTCCTACCAGGGCAGTATGTGCTGCTTTGAGCCACTCTCCACCTCACAAAAGTCACTCAGAATGAGTCTCCTTTCCTTTTAGCTGGACTTTGGTCCGGTAGCAACAAAGCAGCAGTTTATGTGTTCCACAGCTACAGCCTTATTCTGCTACTTGGGAAAGCTGAAGGCTGGACAATATCTTGCCTCCAGGAAACTGAAGCATAGGACGGGGCATACGATGTATGGATCCTTAGCTTCTGCATATGTATCATCTTATCCCTAGGACATCAGTGCTGTGATTTTTCTCTCAACAGATTCCCAAGGCACAGAGTCCTCTAGTGCAAACATGAAATTACCACCGCATTGGGAGCTCCCTCATAAAGTTGAGACCTGACATTCCTTATAATGGTGTGTGTGGGTCAGTACTGATATTTTTATCCTGATATTCCTTACTGAATCTTTCCCATCGTTTAGAAAGTTTCCTCAGAGGGGATCATGAGCAGGAATCACCAGAGTCCCTACGCTTGGTCCAAACCTGTGCACCAGCAGTGGCCTCTGACGATGGGGAGCAGGACTTGCCTGGTTGGCCTTGATGACTCAGTGTTTACCTTGTGATTTCCCTCTCTCTTTATGCCCGCACCCTATGAGTCTGTTCTCCAACCTCAAAATAAACAAAGTTGGGTTAAGTTGGAAGAATTTCCAAAATAAACTTGACAGTGAGTGTGGACAATTGAGTAAGCGATGTTGCTTTTCCTCTGAGTCAGTATGGAAAATTGCAGTTCCAGAGGTGCCACTGGATGAATGAGACATGCAGCTGGGTTCCTGCCCTCTAGCTCTTATTAAAAATCCTTGGATGCCTTTTATTCAGTGCAGATTATATACTGCATCATTCTCAAGTTTCAATACAATGAGCTTTGTTCTCTTTACCACTGCCCTTTACACTCCTTGTTTTCTATCCAGTGTCGGCTTTTCCTGCCAGCCTTGCCTGTGCTGGGACATCTGCATGCTTAAGCACTCAAGCTTCTACAAGGGGCCAGAAATTGCTGTATTTTTAGAATGAGCAAAATGGTTCCTGTTCATAAGATTAGTCTGGAATTTTTATTTCTTAACAAAGAGTTCCAAAACAATAGCTCATTATTCAATTTCTGTTCTGCAGCAGCAGCCTTTTATGGCATGCCAGCATTGTATTGAATTGGCCAGGCAGGTGGAACACAGGAAAGACACCTGCTCAGAACTAGCCATAGCCTTGGCTGTTTTCTAATGTTCACAC